TAACTTCATGCTATGTTGTCCTTCATGCCCCATCAAGTCCCCATGATCCTCTTTATGCTTACAAACATCCAAGGAAAATATTTAAGAGTTAACTTAATATTGGAATATTTCAAGATCAAGACTATGCATGTAATCATGGGCAATTTGAATGTGATCCAAAACAGCCCCATGCAAGAAGTGACAATTTGCATTATATCACAAAACCATTTCATGTCACAAAACCAAAGGAATAGACTTATGGTGATGCATCTACACATCAAATATCATAATTTTAAAATTATGTCCAAAGGTAGTAGCATTGACCACAAGGGTTATCCAAGCACAAGCCAACAAAAGGGTACAAGACACAAAGTGCTGCAGAAAAAACAGGCCTAGCAATAGTGCAGCAAAAATACAGCAAAGTGACATACATGGAAATGGAAAGAAAGAGAGTGACATAAAGAAAGTTTCCTTGGACATTTCTAAGTAAAAATCTGAAGTCTTGAAGGGAGAGCAAACCCTAGTGTGCTGAGATAAGAGAGGAGAGGGGGCTACAAACAAGTCATTCACTACACATTGACATGAGAAGATATTGAGAGCAAGAAACAGAGAGAAAAAACAGAAAAAAGAGAGAAACATTGAGAACATTCGCTAACAATTGAAAGAACAAAAGGTGGGTAGAAAATCAGAAGAAGGAAGTGGATCATAGAGCACCTCCAATTAAGACCATTGGTGAAGGAAGCTAGTAGCTCTTGGGTATCCTTCCTTTAAAACTCTCACCTCTTTACATTTTGCATGATTTTATTTTTTGTGATGCTTGTGTTGTATGTTGTAATAAGGTCTTGATATGACCAAGAAACCATTGTAAAAAAGATAGGACATAGTTTAGTTTTCATAGTGACATAAGTTGAAAAACTCAAAATACTGTCACGTTCGCTGGCAAGTGTTGTACCCCAAAATTTGCTCAACCTTTTCTTTACTTGGCTTAGGTATTCTTTGCATTTTTGCATTTCTGCATTTCATAGCATTTGTTCTTGAGACAGGGGATCAGGGTCTTTTCGTGATTCAGGATTCTTTTGTTGCAAGAGACGAAATAACGAGCATCAGCGGCTCTGGCATTTACTTTGCCCGGCGATCAAGCGGTCGATTTTATTTTGTTTTGCAAGATAATTTTCATCTCAAGAGGTAGCATTCAGGCTATCTCATGGTCATAGCATCCAAAAGCAAGTTTCATAAGTTTAACGGAGCTCAAAACGATTGAAAACGGACAATTGTGCAGGTTTCCCTCCAAAAGGCGCCAAAATTCAAAATTTTGAGGTGTTAATCGATTAACCAATGCAAAATCAGGCCAAGTTTGAATTTTTGAAGGTGTTAATCGATTAACCCAAATGGTTAATCGATTAACCAGTGCAAATTTCAGCTCTGCCCGTGAATTTTCAAGTGAAGTCACTTTGGGGTCCATTTTGATCACATGTGAAACTAATTTTACACCTTAGGAAGGATCTAGAACCATTTCAAATTTTGGTTAGTTTTCAAATTAATCAAAACTCCCTCCAAATTCCCATTCCTAATCCCATTCCAATTTTCACAAACCACACACCATACCTCATTTGGATCCTAACCTAAGGTGTATTTAAGTGATTTTACTCCAAACATCACAAAAGAGAACTCTCATAATTCCTATTTCATTTCAGAATTCATCTTCACTCTCTCAATTTGCTCTCAACTTTTCCATTCCCAAACTTCACCAAAGCTCTTCGCACGTCGAATTATTTGATTCTCCATTGGAATCATTGAATTCTGGAGCTAAAACCTTCATCCAACATCCATTTTGTTCACAATTCTCCATTCCAATTTCATGCTATTGTGGACCTGAATTTTGAAGTTGATCTAGAGGAGCTTATTTGGATAATTCTTACTTAATTTTGGTGGATCTTCATTTCTACTACAAGAATTCATTTAGATCTTAAAGGAATTTCGAATTTCTTGCTTGGATCTGCTCAATTGGAGTTGAATCAACATTAACCAAAGCAATTCTCCGCTTCGTAGGTTGGAATTCTATATACATTGCATTTTTAGCTTATTTTGCATATTCGACGTGGATCTTCATTTTTTATTGACTTTTAGTTGATTTGATCCATGTGAATTGTGATGTTGCTGTTTAAATGTGTTTACATGTTGATTGGATCACTGCTTTCTGGTTTAATTTTATGCACAATTGTTTGTATGATCAACTGAATTGTTGGAGAAGTGATTAATGGCTGAAAAGTGCTTATGAACTGTTGTTTTCTGCTGTTGACACAGTGTTAATCAGTTAACCAATTGGTTAATCGATTAACTAGTACAAATATTCAAATTTTCAGGCATTTTTCAATGGTTAATCGATTAACCCCTGGTGTTAATCGATTAACACTATGTCAGCAAGCCTGTTGCTGTTTTTCAAGGTTGTTTTTGTACCGTTTTGCTTCGAATCTTCATGGTTTCTTCGACACGCGTGTTTGATTTCCACTTGAATGCATACTTTCGTAGTTGTTGTTCAAAGTGATGGATGTTCATATTTTGCATTTTCTTGAGTTTGAAGATTCGCTTGGTTGAGATGTGCTTGTGATGGCCGCTATCACACACTGTTTTTTCTCCCACTTTTCTTTGATGATTGATGGTAATGGTTGTAGGAGCTTGTTTCTCCCATTTCATCTCATCCTCACATCTTTTGTGCGTGCATTTTCATGCTTGCTTGCCTTCTTGTATTTCTCTTTTGGTCTTGCATCTTTTTGCTTGCTTGAAGAGGTTGAGATGTGCTTGTGGTGGTGTTTACCCCACACTTTGTTCCTCCCTCTTTCTTCATACTTGTTTGTGCATTGCATGTTGCATTCTTCTTATGCTTTCTTCTTCTTCTTCTTCTTTTGTCTTCCTTTGCCATGTCCCCTTAGGATCTCCAATCTTCCTTGTTCAAGGTTGATTATGATAGACATTAGGATTCAAACCATGCATGATAACATTGAGTAGTATCCCTTTTCATCCCAATCATAGGTACACTTTGCATGAGAACATTAGGTTGAGTTTAGTCTCCCTTTAGAGTGTCTTTCTCTTCTCATCTCAAAACTCTTTCAAAACACATAATAAATGATAATGAATGTTGTACTCTACGAGCCTTAAGCATTTGGGAAATGATGGTTGGGGGGCCTCCTCTCAATTGTCTAGAGTGTTTAGCGCCCTTTGGGCGATATGCAACACATTCGCTCCTAAGTCATAGTCTTTAGTGTAACATGAATTACAAACACAATTTAATTCACTTCTTCTTCATAAAAGTCTCAAAAGCAAACATCAAACCTTTTTTATCCTCCAGGATTAATGGAAAACCTTTTTCATAAAAGAGTTTTGTTAACTCTTGGTTCTACCGCAAACAGGTAACGCCTAAGTCTCCAATGGTCGAGATGCATACACCTAACTGCTAGAACTAAGGTTTAATCCTACTCGGGTAAAACATTTGAACCAACCCGCGGTCTTGTGTTAGATGCCCAATCTTGCTTATTTGAGCTATCAAATGTGGGCATCTTTCATTCCTTTTTGTCAAAAACATATTTAAAATCGCTCTTGCTTTGGTTGGTTTGCAACATTATGTTGAAGGATCTTGGTACCTTTAATTTGTGTGTTATTGTGTAGCAATTAGGCATGAAAGAGTAGAAATTTAAGACACAAGAAAGATGGCAAAGGAACCAAGGAAGCAAGCAAACAACAGCAACCTCGCTAGGCGAGTGAGGTAGCGAAGAGCTCACTAGGCGAAACACCAGCGAGCAGGTTGTTGCACCCCAAAATTTGCCCAACCTTTTTCTTTGACTGGATTTTGTTTCATTGCATTCATAGCATTAGCATTATCCTTAGCATGTGCTTATAATGGACTAGATCAAGTGTTTGCACCATATAGAGAATATTGGAGACACACTAAAAAACTTTCCATCATACAGTTTCTTAGTGTCAAAAGAGTAACAATGTATTATTCGGTTCAAAAATATGAAGTGAGTCAAATGATGAAGAAGATAACAGAACAATATATGCCCTCTAACAAACCTGTCAACCTACATGATATTCTTACGGGTCTTACAAGCGCGGTCGTTTGTAGGACAGCGTTCGGGAGGAGGTTTGAAGACGAAGGAACTGAGCATAGCATGTTTCATGATTTGGTTAAAGAAGTGTAGGAAATGATGATTTCGTTCTTTTATACAGATTATTTGCCTTTTCTTGGAGGATTTGTTGATAAGTTTACCGCAATGATGGGTCGTCCTGAGAATATATTCCAGTTTTTGGATGGATTTTTTTAGAGTGTCGTCGATGAACATCTTGATCCCGAAAGGAAGAAGTTGCATCCACACGAAGAGGATGTCATTGATGCTTTGATTGATTTGAAGAATGACCCTTACTGCTCAATGGATCTCAAATCTGAACACATCAAACCCTTGGTCATGGTTAATAGTCTTATTTTTCTTCACTTTAATTTTTGTCGATTTTTTTTTATGTAACACTATGAAAATCATTTTTAAAAAAAAGTTGAAACAAACATTTTTTTTTTTAATATTGCAGAATATGTTGTTGGCGGGGACGGACACGATTGCGTATGCGGTAGTTTGGGCGATGACGACGCTAATGAAGGATCCAAAAGTGATGAAGAAAGTACAAGAAGAGATTCGAAAAGTATTTGGCGGGAAAGGTTTATAGAGGAAGAAGATGTTCAAAAGCTTCCATATCTGAAAGCAGTTATAAAAGAAACAATGAGATTGTACCCATCTTTGCCGATACTTTTACCTCGAGAAACCATGAAAGAGTGCGAAATCAAAGGGTACAGAATTCCTAACGAGACATTAGTGTTCGTGAACGCGTGGGCGATTCATAGAGATCCAGAAGCATGGAAGAATCCTGAAGAGTTTTATCTTGAGAGATTTATAGGAAGCGATATAGATTTCAAAGGATAAGATTTCGAGCTGATTCTGTTTGGTTCGGGGCGAAGAGTTTGCCCCGGGTTAAACATGGCGGTTACTACGGTGGATATTTTACTTGCTAATCTTTTATATTTGTTTGATTGGGAAATGCCTGAAGGAGTGAAGAGGGGAGATATAGATCTTGATGGTCTTCCAGGACTTGTTCAACACAAGAAACATCCTCTGTGCCTTGTTGCAAAAACTAGAATTGCATGTGTGTGATGTAAAATGTTGCATGTTATGTTATATTTATGTTAAGAAAATAAAACATGCATGTTATGACTAGGTTGAGCCATTACTATATATACCATTTCCCTTGTATTATATGTTCATAGAAATAAAAATTATCTTTCTATGTCGATTTCCTTTAAGGTTCAAGAAAATTTATATAGAACATTAATATTTTATTCTATGGATGGTGTTTTGATCCTAAATGTTTTTTTTTCCTGATGAAATAAGTCACAGATTCGAACCTGTGGTTTTGCATTCAGATATTTTCTTTAAGAACTAAAATTGAGCTGACTGACTTTTATCTTTTAGATTCTACTAAATTTTAGGTCCGAAAAATATTCTTGTCACAGACTTCAATGACTACTAAATATTTGTATTGTAAAATCCAAAAATATTTGGTCAGGGTAAAATCGACAAATAAAGGATTTTGAGTGTTTTTAGAATATAAGATGAGTTGGATTAGATGTTTTCAGCAATCAAAGCGAAAGGATAAAGGTCAATAATGGGGGGACAAATATGAAGAGAGAGACAGAATCTTCAAACAACGCTGGGTTGAATAACAAATATGAAGAGAGAGACAGAATCAGCACAAAGTCTCCTATGTTTGATGGAGAAATTTGATTACTGGAAGGACAAAATCAAAGTTTTTTTCTTGGCTATGATGTTGATATCTGGGATATAGTCATTGATGGATACACTCACCCCACAACTGGTGTAGGTAAAAAGATTGATAGAAAATCAATGACTGATCAACAAAAGAAAGACTTCAGAAATCACCACAAGGCAAGGACAATTCTGTTGAACGCTATATCTCATATTGAATATGAGAAAATCACAAATAGTGGTACAGTGTATGACATGTTTGAGTCCTTGAAGATGACGCATGAGGGAAACACGAAGGTGAAAGAAACAAAGGCTCTGGCGCTGATTCAAAAGTATGAAGCCTTCAAGATGGAGGAAGATGAATCTGTGGAAACCATGTCTTCTAGATTCTAGATTCTGACTGCTGAAAATTGAAGGTTCTTGACAAAGGCTACTCCACTTCTGATCATGTAAAGAAGATAATCAGAAGTTTACTAAAGAGGTGGAGACCTATGGTCACAGTGTTAAAGCTCTCAAAAGATCTGAACAAGATCACTCTTGAGGAACTCATCAGTTCTTTAAGAAGCCATGAGATAGAGCTTGAGGAAGATGAGTCTCAGAAGAAAGATAAGTCCATAGCTTTAAAATCTAACAAAAAATCTAAAGCTAAAGCTTTTCAGGTACTAGAAGAAAGCTCTGGAGATTCTTCATTAGATGAAAATGAACTATCTTTACTATCCAGAAGAATAAATCAACTCTGGAAGCACAAGCAAAAGAAGTTCAGAAAATTTAAAAGAACAGAACACCGTGGAGAATTCTCTGGTCACAGAAGATCAAGCAAAAAGGAAGTAGTGTGCTATGAATGCAAAGAGCCAGGACACTACAAGAATGAATGTCCCAAACTTCAAAAGCATAAACCTAAGAAGAAGTTTGAAAAGAAAAAGAAAGTCCTGATGGCTACTTGGGATGACTCAGATTCTTCTGAAGCCTCGTCAGAGTCTGAAGACGTATGTGCAAACGTTGCACTAATGGCTGGCATAGAGGAGCATAAAGAATCATCTGAATTTGGATCCGAATCAGGTTCAGAAGAGGTATTTGCTGATTTCACAAGAGCTGAGTTAATTGAAAGCTTAACTGAAATGTGTGAAAACTATAGTAAGATCAGACTCAAATACAAGCAGCTGCAAAGCAGTCTTGCATCTGAGAATGGACAGCTGAAATCAGAAATTACTGAGCTAAAAGAAAATAATTTTCAAATTAAAATTGAATTGGAAAAAGCTCAACAAAAATCTGAAACAGATACTACGTCTAGCTCTAAAAATATTTTAGAAGAGTATGACAATAGTTTTCAAAGGTTCCTGTCCAGAAGCATAGACAGAAACAAAATAGCTTCTATGATCTATGGTGTAAGCAGGAACAACAGAAAAGGGATTGGATATGAATCATCTTCTGGGAAGGAATCAAATCCAAAACATGTTGATAAGTTAAGCTATTGATTAACTTGAATCTTAATTCATTTGGAACCGGTCTTTGATTTATCCAAAGGAAGGGAAAAAGATCGAAATACCCACAATGCAATACAAATGCAAAAGCTAGAGAGTTATAGGTTCAGGGGTTGGTTAAACTTAGGGAAGGTGCTAGCATCCTAAGTTTCTGTAGTACTCTACAGGAACCTCTTCTTTTATGTTGTTTATTGCTATGGATTATATGCTTAAGGATAAAAGACCTAGTGGTTTATATCTAAGTATACTCGATAAGATATCGCATCTTATGCCTACATATCCTAACGGGAGTGGAATCAGAGTATATGTAGTTCCCCTAAAGGGTTTGAGGAATTCTTTGACTGTGGTCAAAGTTCCTACGGGATAAGGGTAGTTGATTGATTGATTCTAGGAGAAAAGATGAGTTGTCATTTTAAGGGAGATTACTTGACTAGGCCACCACGAATTATAGAAATGTATTGATGTGGGGCAGAAGTTTTATCCCGCTTAAGATGATTAACATCTTATTCTCTAATGTGTTTGAATTGTTTGTATTGAGTTTGTTTTTTATGTTGCAAAATAAAAGACAAAGGTCCTTCCTATGGGGTAGGATCTATCTTAAAAGATCGACTTGAATGAAATCAAGGATCAACGGAGATTATGATGCAATATGATATGCATACGCGCAGATTCTTCCTTTGAACGTAATGCAGTAATGCGATGCAACGAAGATAAATATAAATTACGGTAAATAAAAGTTGCGGATAAAGCGGATAAATAAAGACATACACACGCATGAAAGCGCTGAAGTATACAAGTGTGTGAATTGTGAATATATGTGCGAGCGGATTGATGCTAGGAGGCGGATACGTGCACGATTGGATCGAGTTAGGAGAAATATCGATTTATTTTAGTTGGATTGATTTTAGGAAAAGGTTGATTTTGGTGAATTGATTTTAAGAAAAAAAGTTGAATTTATTAGTTTTAGATAAAAGTTTTATTTTTAAATTTAAAATGATAATTAGATTGTTAAATAGAAAAGATTTTTAAATAAACATAAATTTGAGGAAAGGGTTCTATTAAGGATGATGGTTTTTTAGTTACTATCATAAAAAGGTAAAAGATAATTGAAATTAATAAAGGGGTTTTTGTTATTTTATTAAGAAAAATTATTTTAAATATGAATTGGATTTTAAGAAGAAAAAAAGGGACCAATAGATATATTATCAACATTTTTTTAGAGGGGCTTGAATAAAAAGTTTTAGTCATTAATAAAATTAGGTTATTTAGAAAAAGGGTTCCTTTAAAATTATAATAGAATAAGTTATTTATTTTAAGTTAATAAAAGAGATTTTTGTTTAGAACATGAGAAGAATTAATAAATGGAATTATTGGATTGATAATATAAATAAATTAATGATATTGATTTATTAATAAAGCTGAGAAAAGTTAATTATAAAAGTTGGTTTTGGTTAAGACTAATTACATAGAATGATTGATTAATTAATTAAATTTAAAGATTAATTAATAGGTTAGTTAGATTGATTAATTTAAAAAAAGGGGTATCATTATATTAAAAAACGATTTATTAGTTTAAAAAGGATTACTTAGATTAATTAGGTTTAATAAATGGGTTAAGGGGCGTGCGATCAGGTAGGGCGTGTGCGTGGTACTTACGGTAGGCAGCGTGAGCATAGACCGATAGATTGGATCCGTTGGACATCCAATGGCCTGTGTGTGAGGGTGCGTGATAGTGTGTGTAGGGTGCAGGTATAAGATTAGCAGATTACATCAAATTAAATAAAAAAGAAAATAAAGAACCATAAGCCCCCCCCCCCCAATTCATCCCTTTCCTTCGGTTGTATCCCTCCCTTCTCGATCCGCCATTGTCATCGATTCTCCTCTCCGTGTCCTTTCTATCGGCTTGCGTCTCGTCTTCATCTCATCATTCTTGATAAACAAAACAAAACCAGTCAAAAGTCAAATGCATCAACATGGCAGAGAAGAGTTACCTGCGCTCGTGAGCGAATTTGAGATGTTAACTCCGTGCGGGATCTCTTCGCGGTGGCGTTGATGATTTTGCGGTGGATTTGGGTCCCGGACGATGTTGCGGCGGGAGGAGAGATGAGCTCTCTCACTCTTCCGATTTCTTACAAGCTTGGGGTTTTATCTGGGATTTCTTTGAATACTGTGTGATTTTTTTTCTGTCCCTTCAATGGGTTTCCATCGTCCTTTTTATAGGGGGATCCGTTGGGCCTCCTATTGAAGATGGCTTTTAAAGTTTTCCAAATCTGTTGATCTTTTGTCTGATGCTAATGATGATTTGGGAAGCAACACTAATTTCTTTCCAATTTCATCTGATCTTGTTGAGAGTTGGCTCTATTTTGGGAAGTTTAGATCTTTCTCTTTTCATATTGATTTGTTATATTTGGAACTGTATCTTCGGTGTTGACTTTCGTTGTTAACACTTTTACTCTTCTTCTCGTAGGGACAACTACGCTAAAGTTCAGAAGCTGACTTATCTTGAGCCTGCTGAGAAAGGCTTTGAACTGGCGATGACGCTTAGTCTGAGCTTGACGGAATTACGGTTGCCGTTGATGATTTTACGTTGTTACGTTTCCTCTGTTGCTTGCCTTGTTCGGAACCAGGTAGGAAGTTGGTGGCAGTCTCCGTTGCCCTTCTGGTCGCTCGAACCTTCGCCCAGTGATGAGTTGAACTGAGGGTTGGGTCTCTTCTAACTTTTATCTCTCAAATTCTTTCTGCGATGGCTTATTCCATCAGTTATGTTGTTTTGACGGGTCGGAGGCTTATCGAACCAATGTTTATTGTAGGATAACGTTGGCTGGTGTTGCTATTTTGGTCTTGCATTTCTTTTTCTCTTTCAAGGTGCTTGCTGGATTCAGATGTCGTCGGTTTTGCAATGCTGGG